TCCCCGTCCCCTTCTCCGTGCCCTTCACCGTCCCCTTCCCCGTCCCCTTCCCCTTCCCCGTCCCCTTACCCGTCCCGTTCCCCTTCCCCGTCCCCGTCCCCTTCCCCGTCCCCATCCCCTTCCCCGTCCCCGTCCCCTTCCCCGTCCCCTTCCCCTTCCCCGTCCCCGTCCCCTTCCCCGTCCCCTTCCCCGTCCCCGTCCCCTTCCCCGTCCCCGTCCCCTTCCCCGTCCCCGTCCCCTTCCCCGTCCCCTTCCCCGTCCTCTTCCCCGTCCCCTTCCCCGTCCTCTTCCCCGTCCCCTTCCCCGTCCCCTTCCCCTTCCCCGTCCCCTTCCCCGTCCCCGTATTATTGGAGCCTATATTTGAAATTGGCGTTCCCCTCGCTCTACCGCCCCGTTCACCTCTGCCCGCGTCGTTCGCCTCGAGCCCGCTCTCTCCATTTCTTTTGTCGCCTTCGCAGCTCTCTCGTGGCGCCTTCATTTGCCATGTCATCACCTCGTTCGTCAAATCCGATTTCATCCATCCTGTTGCTTTCTTCCCTGGTTTTTCCTTTTTCTTTGCTAGGTGAGGTCGCAGTTCATTGCTTGGATTTGAACTATCAGTTTTGAGCTTTGCAACTACTCGCTGGTAAAATTTGATCATTGTCAGTGGGTTCTCTTTCTCTCTTTTTTTTTCCTTTATGTTTTGAATATATATTTTTGAGTGAATGTGTATGTGTACCCAAAAATGTTTTGATTAATAGTTGAATTACTGGTATCACATGGTGAAACAAGAAAATCTTGTGACGTACTATCAAATAATGTTGATGTGGACTGTAAGTGAAATGGTTGATTATTCCAAAGACAATAAAAGGAATAATTTATTTAATTATTGTGTCTGAACAATTATGGTTCTGATGATCAGCATGTGATTTTTTTGTCTTTAATTGGATGGTCTTGTTCAATTTAGTACCATATGATGAAAAGTATACTTACAACAGGAAAAAAGTTTTTGGAAGAATGCAATTATGAACAATTATATTGTGGTGATTTTAGTGATGTAATTGAGAACTGAATTAGTGTCAACTAAGGTTTAATGATTTAGATAGAAAAGCCACATTACTTAAAATTATTATGATTATTAAAAAAAAAAAAAAAAAAAAAAAAAAAAACTTACAATTGTAAGATTTTTTTAACTGTAGCAATTTAACTATTGAGTAAAGTTTAGAATTTTTTTTATATATTTACATTCTTGGATTCTCTCTTATGGCATGAAACATAGCTTGATTAAGTTGTAATTAGATACTTCATCTTTTTTACTTGATAAGATTTTTTTTCATAAAAAATATTTCTTCTTTAATTTTTGTAAATTATTGTATTAGACTATTGTTCTTTGAATTATTGCTCTTAGAAGCTAATTTATAGTATTGTTATATTAGACTAGTATTTTTTGTATTATTTCTTCTAAAAGTTAGTTTGTAGTATTGTTAGGTTGCTAAAGTACAATACAAATCTAGATTATTACAATATTGTATCAAAGAACTAACATAGTGCAATGCTAAGGCATGGCATTGCTTTGGCATTAAAAAGAGATTTGCAATATTAGAGGTGGATACAATGTAGAATAGAGATTATTGCCAAAATTAGAATCTTTTACATAATTGATGTATTTTTTATTTTATTTTTTATTCCAAAGAATATAGTTATCTTTATTGAATGAGTAAGTCTTATCCAACTTGAGAATTTTTACATTTTTATGAAAGAATACAAACTCCTTGTAGAGTGCATTAAAGATGAGGCCATAGATTCAATGATTAACTAGGATGATTAAGATGATAGAATTAAAATAGATGCATTGCCTAATGGATAAAAAAATTACTTATGACCTAATAAATATCCATAATATAGTTTTAAGCTACTTCATTAATTATAAAAATTAATTAAAAGATTGATTAAGCATTCCTCATTGGGCTTATAGATGCAATAAATGGATCTAGTGAAGGCATCAACCTCAATATTAGAAGAGCCATCTAAATGTCAAAGACATATATATTTACTTCAATAATTACCTATATAATTAGATAGAAGTAGGTAAAAGTAAACTAATTTTATAGTATCTTATAGAAAAGCTTTTTAGAACCTTTATAGATGTGACTTTGACTTTATACATGTTTATAGTTGATTAGTAGGTTAGAAACTTGTTCAATAAGTTAGGCTTGTATCACACTTGTTAGAAGCTTATAGAACAAATTAATTATGTAGTGCATATACAGAAAACTTACCTTACAAATTAAGATATGTGTTTTAAAAAGTCAACACATGTTGGAGGTTGTATTGAACATTGTCACATAGCTCATAGTTAGATAATATATATGGAGGCAAGAGTAAAGCCTACTTCACTCTTGTCAATATTTTTCTTATCTTTAGTCTTGTTTCAAGAGTCTATATTATTCTTATCTTTTGCAATAGCCGTTCTAGTTCAATATATGATTATCTTTGAGCGACTTTCTAATCTTTTTGAGTAACACAAGAGCTTATTGAATTTTCTTTCTTTGAGATTCATGTCCTTGATATTTTGACAAGAGTCTTAATTCATTCTTCCTATTTTGTACTAGAAGTGAGTGGATTATTCTATTTTTATTATTATATTCTTGAAGGTTACAAAATATTCACTTTTAAATTAACTTATAATTTTTTAATATTTATTTTTTTCTTAAAAAAAGTAAATTATTCTTCTTTGTAGAAATTTTTATTTGATACTAGAGATTGCAGATTGTCTTCTTCTAACTTATCTTTTTAAATTTTTTGAATTATCTATGGGAGAAAAAATTATAGATGCTATTCTTGTAGAAAAGAGAATAGATTTGCAACTATTGCAAATCTTCACAAACTTAACAACACTCTTAAGGTATAAATCTCATGTATTTCTAAAGTGAATCATGGAAATACTATTTCTACATCCATAGAAGAAGTCAACAATGAACTTCAAAATTTGTGCAAAGAAGTTGTGCAATTAAGAGAAGCAAGTAAATCATATTCACAATTAAATCCAAAGAGCCTTATTACTACAAATATAAGGGAAGTAAGGATCAATATATTAGAAAATTTTAATAAAATAAGATCAAAGTTTCAAAGATTTTTACAACAAACAAAGTTCTATCTAAGATTGCATCATTTTTAATACCTTGATGGATTTATTCAAGTGGAATTCATAAGAGCAATTCTCTCTAAGAGTACTCTTTCTTAGTTTGCACCTTTGATGAAAAAAGATTCATAACTATTCTATGATTTGAATTCATTTTTAAAAGTATTTACAGCTATATTTGAAGAAAGTAATTTAAAAAAGGTAATATAGACCAAACTCATATTTCTATGACAAGAATCATGTTCAGCTACCATATATACTACTAAATTCCAAAATCTTGCTTGTAATATGGATTTCAATGATAAAGTCCTTATTAATCAATTTTAACATAAATTGAAGGATAATAAGAAAGATTTATTGTTGGAAATGATAAGAACAAATTTATTGAAACAATTTATTATGAAATTAATCTACATGGCAATGTTCTATAGACATTACTTTGACTTTATGCATATTTATAGTTGATTTCTAGGTTAAAAACTTGTTTAATAAGTTAACTATGTGTCACATGTATTAATAGCTTGTAAAACATAATTATCTTATATTTTAAATATAATTGTTTAAATTATTTTAGCAATATATAAGTAAAGTTTATAAATAAATCAAAGCAACATATACTATTGTAGTTGATGGTCACAAATCAAAAAACTTGTGAGAAGAAAAAAATATTGTATTGAGATCCAAAATAATAAATATAAAATAATTAAAATTAAAACTTAACTGAAAAAAGATAATATTAAATAAATATCAATTAAGTATTTTAAACAATCTCCAATTTACAAATCAATAACACCAATAGTTTTTTTGGACGAATTTCATATAAAATTATCAACTTTGGACTTTTTATACTTTGTTGTAACTTTGAGGTGATTGCTAATGAATTAAAAAAATTAATAATAATTTCAGATACATATTATTGTCAAGCTATTAAATAGTTGCAGATATTTAAGTAATTTTTTTTTATAGTGCAGACCAAGAGACAATATTATTGATTATTTTTACCAAAATATTTGACAAGTAATGACATCAAGGAATTTGAGCTAGTAGTAGATATTCATAAGGCTTTTTAATATAATTTAGCAAAAAATACCACTAAAAGACTTTGGATTTAAAGTATAGATATTTTTTACAAGATAGAAAATAATCTTTGTAACATAATAAAAGATTGTTTCATGGAACAAATTAAAGGGATTTCCTTGCTAGATTAGAAGCTTAGAATTTAAACCTAGATGAATAAAAACTACTAACGGTTCCTTATTTTTAATAAGTCATATGCATTTGAAATATTGCCACAATATTTGAAACATAAGGAACTTTGGACATATGAAAGATAGAATAAGGAATAGTCACTTTAGTTATAAGAAGTAGAGCATTATAAAAAGGCCAAAATAAAATTTATGTTTTTTCTCAAAGAAGATGTTATTTCTAAATTTATTTATATAATAAAAAATAGAGTTCTATTAAAAGAAAATATAGAATATGCTCTAAAAACATCTTAAGAAAGATTTTAGCAGTATCAATATTTTTAAATAGCAGTATTTTATTCACCTTATGATAAATGATTTAAGATATAAAAGCAACTTTTTTGCAATAGAAGAATTGCTATCTTTTGAGCTACTTCAAGTATTTATTAAATATTTAAAGAATGAATATAAAGATTTTAGACATAATTAAATGCAAAGTATTAAGACTTTTAATATGAAAATAAAGACATATCATGATCTACATATACCTATTTGGTACAATTCATAATAAAACAAGAAAAAATATTTA